TAATTTCTGATGTACAGCCAAGTGGTTCAGTTATACATACACACATTTTTAAGTATTCTTTTCCATTATGGTTTACCATAGCATATTGAATAGAGCTCCCTAAGCTATACAGGACCTCGAAGCTCACCCAACTATACATAATCGCTTGGATCTACTAACCCCAAACTCCCAGCGCCTCCCGCCCCCTCCCCCTTGGCAACCACAAGTCTTCTCTGCGTGAGTCTGTTTCTGTTTTGTAGACAGGTTCATCTGTGCCATATGTTAGTAAGTGACATCATATGGTATTTGTCTTTCTCCTTCTGACTTACTTCACCGTAAATCCCCCAAAGCCACGTGACACATTTCCCCATCTTAATATCCAGACCGCTGCACACACTGTAACCTGACGCCGGTCTTCTCTGGTCTGCGGCAGCGATGCCCTCAGGGGGTGCTGAGCTGGATGGCACTTCTTGCCCTTACATCAAAGGGTGCCATGTCATCCTGCATCCTTCGTTGGATGCTATGGGATTGAGGACAAATATGACCTAATCTGGTCTGGAGTGTCCGAAAGGCTTCCAGGCCCCAGACTTATTAGTGTAATGTATACCTCTACTGCTTGGAATAGTTGATCTTAATACACTTGCAGATTTGTCAGTACAAACCTAGTATGCCAGAAATTATATTATGAGACTTTCTAAAAAGGAATGACAGGTCTCTCTCACTCCAAGTTTCCCTATTGCATGTAACTTTCTTGATTGCAACAATGCAAAAATCATACAGGTTCTGAAGATGAGGTCTATAACCATAGACAAAAACCCTACCTCTAAAACAACCCAGAGCTTCTGAAACTTGCTCCAATAGGAAGACAATCACCAAAGATGCATTCCCTCCAAAAAGGCATACCCTCCAACACCCACCTAATGTGTGGCTATGAAAAGTAGGGGGAAGGAAAAACCTCACAAAAGGCCTCAGAAAGTTATGAGATTTGAGAGATTTGAACTACAAGAGAGATTTCCTCCCACAGAATATAAACAAATGTTAATGCAAGAATCCTCCCACTGAGCGCAGAAGAGTCTCCCTCTGTTTGGCCATCACTGCTATGAACTGGTGATGGCTGTGTGTGTCCCATTCTTCTGAATGAGAATTTTTATTGCAATGTGACTTCACTACTGAACGAGGGTAAATAACTCTCAAACTCTTTTTCAGCAGAGCTGGGAGAGGGATGCAATCTACAGATTCCACCATACATGTCAGGGTTACCCAGAGAAGCTGAGATTGCAGAGGCAACATGGGAAAAATAAAGAGAAGAAGGGCAGAGAATGATTAAAGGGCCATTGGTGGCAAATCTCAGAAAGTGTCCGTAAAAATCCAACTATGAAACTGAGGGTCTCACCTTGGACTTCAAAAGCTACATCCCTGTTTGCACCAAGTGTGAAATACAGTGTGAACAGGAAGAGCCGCAGAAGCCTTCCTGAGCTTGACCTGGTCCAGGAAGACAGAAGAGGCAGCTCTGGGCAGAGAGGAACACAGATGGGCCCGGTCTGCAGGGGGCGCTCCGCCTCACTGGCAGCGGCAAAGGGGGGCGTCTTGGCCGGTGCCGCCAGAAAGGTTACCGGCTTCCCCCTGCTCTCCTCTTCCAGCCCCACGGAAAAGTTCAGCAGAGAGTTGGTCCAGGAACATCCAGTTTGTTTGGCATCAAAAGAAAACGGCTGGGCATGAAGATAAAGCTTCCATTAAAAAAAAAAAAAGTGAAAGAGCAGCAAAACTTTCCAATGAAGGAAAGACACTCGCCAGAAAGATGCTGCCCCAACAGACAAAACTGTAAACAACTATGAAGTAATCGCCTCTCAGAATCATCACAGAGAAACCACAAAGATGCAAGAAATCAGGGAAAAGATGATGAGGTAACAAGTGTAGATGAAATGTGAGCTAAGCTAATGGAATTCAGGGGTAAAAATAGGAAAGAAAAAAGTCCCCTAATGATCACAGAAATGAAAATAAAATTGGAAGATGTGCATGGAGGAGGTAAGCACTGTGGAAACACACACACACAGAAGAGAGGGTGAAATCAAGCAGTTGCTATGACCCACCTCCCAGAGTAATGGAAATAAAAACAAAAACGAACAAAGGGGGCCTAATTAAACTTAAAAGCTTTTGCACAATGAAGGAAACTGTAAGCAAGGTGAAAAGGCAGCCTTCAGAATGGGAGAAAATAATAGCAAATGAAACAACTGACAAAAAGTTAGTCTCCAAAATATACAAGCAGCTCATGCAGCTCAATTCCAGAAAAATAAACGACCCAATCAAAAAGTGGGCCAAAGAACTAAATAGACATTTCTCCAAAGAAGACATACAGATGGCTAACAAACACATGAAAAGATGCTCAACATCACTCATTATCAGAGAAATGCAAATCAAAACCACAATGAGGTACCATTACACGCCAGTCAGAATGGCTGCTATCCAAAAGTCTACAAGCAATAAATGCTGGAGAGGGTGTGGAGAAAAGGGAATGCAAACTAGTACAGCCACTATGGAGAACATAGTGGAGATTCCTTAAAAAACTGGAAATAGAACTGCCATATGACCCAGCAATCCTACTGCTGGGCATACACACCGAGGAAACCAGATCTGAAAGAGACACGTGCACCCCAATGTTCATCGCAGCACTGTTTATAATAGCCAGGACATGGAAGCAACCTAGATGCCCATCAGCAGACGAATGGATGAGAAAGCTGTGGTATATATACACAGTGGAATATTACTCAGCCATTAAAAAGAATGCATTTAAGTCAGTTCTAATGAGGTGGATGAAACTGGAGCCTGTTATACAAAGTGCAAGTAAGTCAGAAAGAAAAACAATATAATATATTATAGTGTATAATATACAATACAGTATATTAACACATATATATGGAATTTAGAAAGATGATTACCCTATATGCGGGACAGCGAAGGAGACACAGATGTATAGAACAGTCTATTGGACTCTGTGGGAGAAGGCGAGGGTGGGATGATTTGAGAGAACAGCATTGAAACATGTATATTATCATATGTAAAATAGATGACCAGTGCAAGTTCAGTGCATGAAGCCGGTCACTCAAAGCAGTTGCACTGGGATGACCCTGAGGGGTGGGATGGGGAGGGAGAGGGGGGGGTTCAGGACGGGGAACACATGCACACCCATGGCTGATTCATGTCGATGTATGGCCAAAACCACTACAAGACTGTAAAGTCATTAGCCTCCAATTAAAATAAATAATTTAAAATTTTAAAAAGAAATTGAAAACCTATTTTAAGGGTTAAAAAGGAGTGGAGGGAAAATACTAGTATAGAAGACATGGAAAGAAGTAACGATAGATGTATAGTTGGAATCCCTAAAGAATAGAACCAAGACCATACAGTGGAGAAAATGTTTCAAAGTGACAATCAAGACAGCTTTCCTGAAATAAAAGGGACAAAACCTAGTAGCTTTATCAGACGAATGATAAAGAAATAATCGTTTGAGCAGCTGAGCAAAAAGATCAAGTCACTTGTACTGATAAAAGGGGGGAAATTGCCTGGCATTAGGTCTCTCCACCACTACATAAGCAGAGGGGGAAACAGAGTAACCAACAAGATCCTTGAAAGACAATGTGAGCCACGAATTTCGTTTCCAGCCAAAGTGCCCTTCAAGTGTAAGGCTACCATCCTGAACAATGCAAAGACCCAGGGAATATTGCTCCCAGGAGCCATTCTTAAGTTTTAGCCAAGCAACGCCATTGACAAAAGCAATGGCAAAACCATGATGTAACCCATGGCTAGAGATGAACACTGACAATATTTAACTGTAGAACTATGAGTAACACAAATGGGAGTGCCCAGGCAGCAAAACAGAATGTGAAATATACACCCTGATGTTACAGAATATTACAGTGAGTAATAATTGATAGCGGAAGAGGAAAAGACGTTGAGATGCTGAGTAAGTTCCCTGACTGCATTGAATATGATAGCTGAGAGCCAAGAGTTATTATTTAAAGTGGGCAAGTTGTCCGACAGAAGCTTAAGCATATTTAATAATGTAAAAGTAAACACTGATAGGATGGCCTCAACTGAAACTGTGTGGTGGAGAAAGAGATGTCATCACCCATAATAGAGGCTAATAAATACAGCTTAAAGATTTGAACCCTAAGGTTATTATATGCAATTATAATTATAAAGTTAACCCGTATGACAAACCATTTAACACCTAGGACAAAAATACAAGACTCCCCGAGGATCAGATAAAAGACACACAGAAATACAATAAGAACAAAAATTGGTGCAGGAAGTAGGTAATCAGAGCTCAGCTTATGATCAGCTGTGAAGAGCATTTACCTAGCAAAGTAATGCAAGCATTCACTTTTGATCCAATTAAACCATAAGAAAGGAAGGAAGACGGGAAGAGATCCCTTCTACGGTGGGCAGGGACGAAGAAAGGGAATTAGTTCCCATCTTCCTCAATGGGAAGTCAAGAAATCATCACTAAAATAAAATTTGGGAAGTGCAGCACAAATGTGATATTTAAAGACATGGAGATCAAAATAATCAAGCAAAACAGATGAAAGCAATGTAACCAGGGGAGGTTAAAAAAAGAGAGAAGGGCAGAGACTGCTGTTTTTCATAACAAACTTTGTAGAACAGTTTGGTTCCTCCATGAATAAGTTTAATAAGTACACTTTTTAAAAAGGAATTTGAACTCAACTGAGCAATCTGAGTTCAACTGACCAATTCAGAGATTGATTTTTTTTCACTTTAACCTTCCCATGAGGTCCATTTAAACTAAAGGTCCCCTAGACTTTCATTTTGAAAACTGAAACAGTTCATTCTACTTTCCCTTTTATTGAAAGCTACCACTCAAGTACTGCAATAATTTGACAGTATTGGGGAAGCCTCCTTTGAACCCCCAGCAGTCATATACTCTATGCGGATGAACTGTTGATTTTAGTGCCGTTATTCAGGAGGGCCTGCCGGGGAAAAGATACTTGCAAACACATGGATACCTATGGTGGTGATGACAGTTCCAGCAAAGAAAAAGGCACTTCCAAGGTCCCAGTGACTGCTGTTGTTGGAAGAGTTTCCTATCGGGCTCACTCCTGCGTTGTCAGCGTCAAGAGCGTGCTGCAAGGAAAGTGAGAAAGCGTGAGACTCAGTGACGAAGTTTACCAAGAGTTCCTTGCTCAAGAACCTGCAGTGGTCTCTAGAGGACAGGTTCTGCGGACACAAGTAGAGTCACAGATGAAATTCTACGGTTAGAGAGGAAAGCACAGCCCGAAACTGCACCACCTGTGCCAGACCGCGTGTACCAAACCTGCGCTTCATACCTGACGTCACTGCAGCTTCAACCTGCGCCAGACATGTGATTTCTTTGATATTTATTCTTTTCTTTTAGTGAAGCGCTGTGGATTTACAATGCTATGTTAGTTTCTGGTGTACAGCAAGGTGATTCGGTTGGTTTTTTTTTTTTATTGTATTCCATTATAGGCCATTACAAGAATACAGTTCTATGTGCTAAATCCCTCTGCTCATCTATCTTATGCAGAGTAGTCTGCATCTGTTAACCCCACACTCCCCATTTGTCCCTTCGGTAACCACAAGTTTGCTTTCTGTGTCTGTGAGTCTATTTCTGCCTTTTATATAGACTCTTTTCTATTATCTTTAGATTCCACATATACACAATATCGGGCTTCCCAGGTGGTGCTAGTGGTAAAGAATCCGCCTGCCAATGCAGACACAGGAGACGGAAATTCAATCCCCAGTCGGGAAGACCTCCTGAAGAAGGAAAGGGCAACCCACTTCAGTCTTCTTGCCTGGAGAATCCCACGGACAGAGGAGCCTGGCGGGCTATAGTCCATGGGATCACAAAGAGTCAGACCAGACTGAAGCTACTTAGCACACACACATAAGTGACATGTACGATTTGTGTTTCTCTGTCTGAGTTACTTCACTAAATATGACATCTTTTTTCATAATAGTTCTCTTGTCCTATAAAAATCATCCATTTTGTACAGACCCTGGGAGCATACCTCCAGATGCTAGATGAGATCTGCCCGATTCATAAATCATTGAGTGAAGCCAATTAGATCTTCAAATCTACCTAGTAGAATTTTTTATAACACTATACACTCACTTATTAAAAGTAAAAAATTAGTTTTAAATGGGAGGGGGAACCTGATATATACTATGTTGTCATTTATGTAAAATTTGCTGGTGTAGGATTCCCAGGTGGCTCAGTGGTAAAGAACCCGTCTGTCAATGCAGGAGACATGAGAGACACGGGTTCAATCCCTGGGTCAGGAAGATCCCCCGGAGAAGGGCATGGCAACCCCCTCCAGTGTTCTTGCCTGGAAAATCCCACGGACAGAGGATCCCGGTGGGCTATGGCCCAGAGGATCACAAAGGCTGCAAAGGACACAAATGAAGCGACTAAGCACGCACGCAGGATTTACCCAGTCCTGGCACAGGTTACGCAGAACGCAGACGTCTTGTGCGTATCCATGGGAAACTCTGAGGACTGGCACCCAAGCGGTCGTTCTTGGAAGACAGGATTTCAGTTCCTTTCCGCTCTCGTCTGTTTTGTTGGAGTGTTTTACACAGAGCTGGTTTCGGGACTTGAGAGCTGGGACTCCCGGGTCGTGGGGCCGTGGCTGTACCCCTACTCACCTCAGAACCTCGGGCAAGTTATGTTCACCCCTCTAAGCCTAAATTTCCTCATCTGCAAACTGGAGATGATGATTCCTCCCCCACAGAGTTATTGTGAGGATGAAATTAGATGATCGATGTAACACGCTTAAGCGGGTGCCTAGCGCTGGAGCAAGGCTTAACAAAGAGCTGCCAACTGTGTGATTGTCATTTCACTGTCCCCCCAACACACACACACACACACACACCCCTCCTTTTTAAAATAAATGACAGTGACGCCTCACTGGCTACTGGATTTGGAATTTCATACACCTTAAAATTCCCAATGACTTGGCCACACTGATGCTCCAACCTCACCTCACATGACTGGGAAAGCCTCCAGCCCTGGGCAGGATGCTCTAGGAGACATCCCCTCACACCCTTGAACCTCTGCTTTGCTCTCCCACAAAGGTGCCTCTCCTTCAGGGTCTAATCTGGGCCCCAGTTCTTCCAGGAGGTTCGGTTTGTTCAGGTTCAGCCCCCACGGGCACCCTCAGCCCAGGACTGATACCTCCTCATCACATTCACGTCACGGGTCTTTGATCACGCACCCGCTGCTTTAGATCCTTCCGGAGTCTCAGCATGTACAGAACAAGGTGGACAATCCCTCCGCAGCTCTTCCCGAGCGGGCCCTGCCAACCTCTTTCAAGCCAGGGGAAAGGGGACGAGGAGATTTCCACCATGTGAGCCGTGGTGGAGAAGGGACAGCAGGGGGCTTCAGAGGGAGGTGACAGAAACACGAGCTACTTCTCCAACAAGGAAGAAAGACTGCATTCTCTGCCGAAAACTCTAACAACCCCCTGTGGATACTGCCAGACACAATTAAATATTGAGATGTGATTACAGTCATCCTAAATAATGGCCATTAAGCTTTGTTAAAACGGGCAGACAGCGGTTGCCACAAATTAGATTACAACTGAAAAAGTCAACCATTGTTAGTTACATTTTGCCTTCGTTGATCTGAGATATTTCCAACTGTTTAGACCAGGGATCAACCCATTTCCAGAAAAAGCCAGACAGTAAATATTTTAGGTTTTGTGGGCCACATATGGTTTCTGCTGCATATTTTGCCTTTCTTTTTATAGCGTTTTAAATATGCAAAACCATTCTTAGCTCACAGTTGTACACAAACAGGCTACTGGCTGGATTTGGCAAACGCCCTAGACAATTGTTCCATCCCTGGCTTGGGAAGATCCCCTGGAGAAGGGAACGGCTACCCACTCCAGCATCCTGGCCTGGAGAGTCCAGGACTAGTCCATGGGGTGGCAAAGAGTCAGACACGACTGAGTGACTTTCACTTCACTAGACAACTGACAAAAGAAACAAATCTCTTTTGTTCAAGTCTTTATTCTTTCCTGCCTCTAAGAACATCAAATACTATACTAGCCACTGTTTCTAACATAAACCTGGCAGCCCAGAATTTAAAATCCAGCTGCATGGAATGTGTCTTTGCCGGTGGTTTAAACCAGCCTAGTTTAAGCCGCCTATTCACTGGCGGCTCTGCAATCCTCTGCTTCAGACGGAAGACAGAGGGTGAGTCCTTTCTGCTGGTAAAATACCCACTCTCACTCTCCTGTGAGTGACATCAGACCAACCACAGGACTTAACTTTTATCTCTTCATCATCGGTTCAGCTCTGATGGGCCCACCTAGAAATAATATCTCTAGAGGGACAGCTCTAGAGCCCAGTCACTTGACTGGCCTCAGATCACAGCATCAATGCCTAATATTTACAACTTCTGTGAAGCTGTGAAAAGAGTTTGGCTTCAATCCATCTTCACTGTGCTAAGGACGGCATGTTGACATCCAAAGCAGACCCAGTGCCACATATAGACAGGTTTGCAGCACAGACAAGAAGGAGTAATTACTGGCTTCATCAAAAAAAAAATCCAACGTTAAGATTCCTTTTCAAGTTTCTTTTCTTTGAATTATGCAATTGATAAATATTTAATGTTTACATATGTAACCCTCAAGGAAAGTATCTATCGGTTGAAAGGAAAGGAAGTTAACATTGGTTGAGTGTCTGCATTGAGGCAGAAGCGTTCTTCCCTTTAATCCCTTCCACAACTTGTGTGTTATTCAATTCTATTCTTGCTACACTTGCGAGCACGTCACATTACCTCCCCCTTTCAAGATACGGAAACAGGCTCAGGAATGTCAAGTACCCCTTCTGTGGTCACACAGCCAGGAAGGGGAGGGCTCAGAATTCAAGCCCGGACTGATCCAAAACCACGGTTTTGTCCTTTCCTCTGCATATGGTACCTCGAACACAGTCATACTCACCGACCCTGTGCTCACCTCCGGGCAGAGAGGAGGGAGAAGGCTGGTCACTGTGCAAGAATTTAGAGAGAAGAGACCTCATAAGTGGTCGTTTCTTTCTTCCTTTTTGGCTACACTGACTAACCGAGAATCGAACCGAGGATCGAACCCATGACCTCTGCACTGCAAGCAAGGAGTGCTAACCACTGGGCCTCCAAGGAAGTCCCAAGCAGTCTTTCCTAACGAGACTGCTTCCTTGAACATGTCGATAGAGGCATCGGACTTTATTGGACTGCTGGAGCGGATGACAGCTCCATGGCTCAGCATTAAAAATTTAAAGAATAAATAAAAACTGGGAAAAGTGGATTTTAAAGCCTGAGAGGGAGGGAACAGAGAAAAGAGAGAGAAAGCACTGGGGGAAAAAAAAAAAAAAAGGAGGAAAAGAAGGAAGCAAAAGGGACAAGTGTCAGTTGAGCGCAGTTACTACAACGCCCAAGACTTCTAACAAGCAGGTCCAGGCCTCCCCGGCGGCTCGATGGTAGAGCATCCGCCTGGCAATGCAGGAGACACGGGTCCAATCCCTGATCTGAAGGGGACCCGCACTCCAGCAAGCAGCTAAGCCTGCGGGCCACAGGCTGCGACTGCTGAAGCCCCGCTCGCCAAGAGCTTCCCCGCAGCGAAAGGCGCCCGCGGGGAGAAGCCCGCGAACCGCAGCAGAGCAGCCCTTGCTCTCTGCAGGCGGAGAAAGTCCTCGCCAAAACAAGGACCCGGGACAGCCAGAAACAGGCAAAGAATTGTTTAAATGAAGCAGGTCCATCTGGTACCCAAGTTCAGCTTGCTTCACATCTCGGATGTGCACCCGCTCTTGTGCACCCGAGTCTTCAGGAAAGTGGGCTCTACAAGCAGATGCCTTGGGGAAGTGAGTTTAAATATAAGGGCTGTTACAGGTACAGAGGGCTGGAATATGATTTACAACAGGAGCAAGAAGGAGAAAAAGAAGGCCTCTCACAAGTCACCAAGCTCTTGGTAAGACTAGAGGGTCCCCCAGCCCAGGACTGAGGTGTGATACCATCTAGATATTTTAGATCAGGAAAACTCCAGCAAACAACCAGGATTAAAAGGAATTCGCAATCTGTAGGTTATACACCTACAGGGAAAATCAGTATAAATGGACTTCTATCA